TGTTAGTTAACGTACGTCCAGCCGGACCGAACAAGAACTAACACTTGGCTTGGTATAAAGATGTCGCATATTTGCGGACGTTCGTCCCAGTATTGTGATGCAACCTCAGTCGGACTTCGTATTGGTCGCTCCGTAACCGTTATAAATCCCGTTGGCCTTTCCGTTGGGAATCCCATTGTGATTTCCGTCCGCAAGCCCACTGGAGTGGAGATACTCGGTAAAGACTTTGCGATAAACTGGATGCGTCATCAATAAGTCTTGCAGAGAAGCTTTAGAAGTTGAATACGTAATCAATTAGCGTACATTCGTCAAATATTAGCATTATAGGCTCAAACTAGGGGTGTGCGATATTGACGACAAATGATATCCCAATATTTTTTTCGGTAACGATAACTGAACGATATTTTGCGTATTGTGTTTTTGTGTTTGTATCTTGGCTGGTTTAAGAATTTCTTTCTTTCCTTTTTTAACGCCATGTCAGCTTCTATGGATATGTTCATGGCAAGTGCCAGGTTAACTTATTCAAAATTAGCCAAAGATAAATATGACACTAAAACCACCAGTAGGTGGCAGCAAGTCTGAATGAGTGATTCACTGAATCATTCATTCAAATGATTTGTTCAAAACGGCTGATTGATTTAGAAATGAAGCAAGTGACTATCTTTACGAATGAGCTATTGAATCATGGACTCAAATGATTTGATCAAAAACAGATTCATTGAGGAATGAAACACTGCAGTGCTGCTCTGAGATGCAAAAATGTTCTGTTTCGGCTTTGTTTAGAACTATTTTCGCTGGCGAAACCGAAAAAAATACAATATTGTGTCTAAAATGTAACTCAGGGTGTGTTCACACTTGTAGTTCGGTTCGTTTGGTTCATTTGGTCCGGACCAAAAAGGAAAATGATACATTTGGTCCTGGTCCGCTTAGCGTTCACATTGGCATTTTTGACAGTGAACCTAAAGACATCGAACCTAAATGCATAGTGATACGCTCACAACCTGATTGGTCGGCTTGAATGACGTATATATCGTGACGGAACTCACCGAACACCCCAAACAAAAGGTGCGTTAGACTTAAAGCGGCGCTGCGGGTGTATGATATCAAAGCACCCATTAACTGATCGTCTGCTCAATGCCGCTTTAAGTCGAACACACCTAATGCCGTCTGCTGGACTAAGCGCACTCATTCTTGTGTGTACATATAATTTTATTTTCACCACCTGCAAACTCACAGAGCTAAAAGGCACTTTACCTCATCGTTGCTCCACGTTTGCCCTCTGCTCATTTTGTTTTGGTTACACCACGTCGTCAAATCATGTCGCATAGCGTCGCATCTTGTCATTACTTCCATTCATATATCATTCGAACCGCACCAGAGTTCGTTTGGAAGCGGACCGAGAAGCGGACCGAATTTTGTTCACACATGCTCAAATGAACCACACTAACAGAGCAATCGCACCAGGGTTCGTTTTAATCGAACCAAACATGATAAGTGTGAATGCACCCTCACTCAATATTAACCTCTTGTTTGTTGAACTGTTGTATTAAGTTAATATCACATTCGAGATTGTGCTCATGTGCTAATATTTAGGAAAACAGCACTGTTGCTTGTGTGATATTATTTATAACTATATGAATATAAAAAACAAACCCATACAGGGATATTTCATAATTTTAACTGCATTCTAATAGGCTTCATCATGCATGTAGATTTTGGACTTTCAACACGTGTTTTTGTAAAATAAATAAATACAACTTTTTTGCAAAGTGAGTGGCATACTTGATAATGTCAGCTTGCATATCGTTAAAACAACAATTAAGATATTAATTATCGCAGATGATAAATATCGCACACCCCTAGTGAAAAGTCCTGACTTGTGCAATGGAAATGTTCCATGGATGTTAAAGGTTCCTGCCAAAAAAGTACTTTTATTTTTAAGAGAGTAAAGAGACAATGTCAAAACTAACAGACATCGACTAAAAATCATAAAACTCAGATTTTTTATTCCAAGGGGTCTTTACGGTATGTTTGACCATGTCCTTCAGAAAACCATCGCAGCATGAGAGGCCAGACCAAATACAACATGACCTCTAGAGAATAACACACCACAACTATTTCTAGCCATGTATAAATAAAACACAACTCCCTCCAGCCTACATTGTTCCAGCCAAGAAACATGGCATGAGTACTTATGAAAATGTGGGTACCTGTAGAGCACATCATCTAGGGCCACTTTGGAAGTGGAGGCCTCCCGAAAACCATAGTAAAGTTCAACACGGGCCTTTTGACAGCTAATGAATCTTATTTGGATTGAGTCATTCAGTCTAAACAGAGTGCGGTTTCCCGTTTGCGTAAGTGAATGGTGAAGGGGGCGTCTTTGACATGTTTATAATGGAAGATGTGCTCGTTGGCCCAAATGGATCCTCTCCGTGTTGGCTGCTATTGTAGCCACGTGTCAAACAGTGACACACTGGGGACATGAAGTGGCCAGCTGCACTCAAACAAAACCACAACCTCCAACAGTGATACAGATTAGTCAATCTAATCAACTCACTGGCCCAATTTCGCATCTTTAGCACTGGACGAGTTCTTTCACACAGCATGTACACACTAAATCACACCTCAGGGCCGCCGCTAAGACCACAGAGCACACACATACAAACAAACTTTTATGGAACATCTGCACATCTGTGTGCGTGACCTCGTTTTTTGAGTCACATCAGAGCATGCAAAGTAACACACTTACACTTGCATCAACATGCAATTTTTACTCATACGCCTCTAGTTATGAATCATCAGTGACACTACACACAGAACACCAATGTGATGAAGACTGAAAAGAAGACGAAAAAGTCAGTGAAATTCAATAAAATAAATGATCTTGTGATAATCTTCTCAGCTATGCACGGTGAATTTAGTTCTCTCCCAAAAACGCTGAACTTCCTCTGTCTCCCTCTATCTTTTTAGAGAGTAATAAGCTGGGAGTGAGTGATCGCTAACACTGAGGACTTGAATCAACATGTCACAGGGGTCTTGAATCAGATAACAGTCACAGGTCTGTTGTCCTCATGAAACCACCTTCACTCCTCTGTTCATCTCCAATACAATAATCACTGTATGAGAAGCCACTTTAGTACTTTTAAAAGCTCAGACTAGCTTTTCCCATGCAATTCACTACCCAGTAACCCTCGTTTTCTCACGTAAGACACTTGCAGGGATCATCTAATGTCTGACAGGCATGAAAAGCCTGACCGGGACCCAGAACAAATCCCCCTGAGGAGATCAGCCATGCATAATGAAAGACTTTCAGTCTCAAAGACATCATTTTTATAAATGTGTAAATAGCAAGCATCACATGAACAGATTATGGATTAGGTTATATAAAATATTATATTAAGCCACTTTGACAAACTGAGAAGGTAAAAAATGTCTCTTTTGTAACCGAACACAGCATGATAACTAGAGTAACAAGGACATCCGCTGCTTTACATTTAGATCGATTTTTAATAAGTTATATTGATAAACATTTTTGTGAGAACTTAAAATGATAAGAAAATATGTACAATGAAACCTAAGCATACTTTAATTACTTCTTCTTTTTTTTTTAAGACAAACAAACAATCTGACAGTCCAGGTATCGCAGAAAAAAAAAAAGATATTTTTGCAGTCTATATCAGTGGTTTTGTTTCAGGACAGATTTTATATTAGACATCAAAACCCAACACAGTCCCAAAATTGGTTGTCGTACACAAGGAAATAAAAATTACCTTAAAATCGAACATTGAAATCTTTTATTTATTGATTGATTTATAGCTTTAGGTCCTTTTAATGTTGGCACCTGTCTAATTTAACTTCTTCAATCAAGTAACAAATGGATTTGTGCCAAAATATTGTAGAATTTCATTTGTTGCACAGCATTAGCCACCAACAACAACAAAAAAAATGCGAAGCATTTTGTTCTCTCTTTTAAAAGTTTTTTAAAAGATGCATTATGTGCATTTGATTATTTGCATGTGACCTTATCAGAACAGACTTACAATACATTTTAGGGTCCAGTCCACCAGATAAGAACCACTGGTTTAGAACTGTACGACGTCCACTGAAGATGATTAACATAATTAACAAGACCTCTGCTGTTAATCCTGCTAAAGAACCTATAGTACCCCTTAAAGTATGCACACACCCAAATTATCACCCTATGACACAAGACATCATATTTATGAATATTTTCTGTTGTTTAAGTCTCAGTCATGGTATCAAGTTCAGTAACATACGTCCTGGGAAATCTGTATGCCTTGAACTTAAAAAATAAAATAAAAAAAAAACACTATTCCCAAAGCTGTAATATCTAATACTTACTGGCCTGCTTGAGAATTTCACAATACCTGCAACTAGTAAATGGAAGAGGATTTTGTCTTTACATGCACTGAAAGAGATTCATGTCATGACTGTACCCCCAGTGTTATGTGAACTATGTAGGCTACATTAATTTGATTAAATTAAATTCCTGTGTAAGGCAGTCCACTCATCCTAAAAAAGAGTTGGGCTTCATGTAAATGGAGAAAAAAACTGTGAATTTCAGTTTTTTTTCTGCAGGACAACACATTGCAGTTCAGCTGTCAGAAGGCACCAAGTTTCACATCTCATCCTGACCACATCACAACATCTGCAGACATCGTGCATACTTACACAACTCCCGTTTAAAATACGAACATGAACATCTAGCAATCACTTAATGAAAATGAAATCTAATGGGCTTTATATCTTTACGCGCACTTGAAGAACGTCACTTTGCATTGCAGACATCAACTAGTTTTGTCGCGTCGCGAGACTCGACGTGCTGCGAAACTAACAACGTGCGTGTCTACGAAGTGAGCATGCGACTGTAAACATGCTATACAACTACATTTCTTACAAGAACCCGAAACTGGTCATACAACAATCCTAAGACAATTTACACGTCTCAAAGAAGCAAAGACAGAAACAAAGTGACATACCAGCGAATCTTCAGTAATGCTGAAGAAAACTTTCTTAGGGAGTTCACGGTGTAGCGTTTCCTTCGTCTGATAAAATAAAGGACCAGGGCGAAATCTTCCGTCAGTACGGTAATAAAGCGTGCGACAAACGCCACGGTTTTCGGGATGACAAAGTCGGTGACAGATCTCAAAAAGTTTTAAACACCTCTCCCGCTTTCTGTGGGTCTGTGTGTATTTGAGTGGGAGGCGCCAGTAGGAGGAGGCTGCGATTTACATCTATCAAGACAAATGAGAGGATGAAGTGGGCTTGAAAACCCATCAACTTCCGCAGTCATGACACTTGAGTTTACTTTTAAAATAATAATAATTATTATTATTATTATTATTACTGTTGTTGTTGTTGTTGTTAATAACATAGTTATTATAAATATTATAATAAGCCTAATATTTATTATTATAAAATTATTGCTAGCTATAAAATGACAGAGCAGTTGACAGTTTTTTAAAAGTTCAGCGGAAGTCGTGTTTTTCTAAGCTTTTATTGGTGACAAAGTCTCTTCAACATTTTTAAACACAATATTTCCTTTATTTCCACTTATTTTTACACATAGCATATTCCATGACGTCCTCTTCATTATAAGCCCTCTTAATATAGCATATTCCTCTTCGTATGAGCATTAATAAAATTCTAATAAAGTTTAGTGTTAGAACAATGCCGTTTAAATTAGTTTATGCGCATCCTGTTTTATTTAACACAATACAGCTATGTTGGCACCCAAACTAAAATATGCACAAGCAAGCTTTTACCTATTTTATGCTTAGGCCTGATGCTGAAAATGTCTCTTTCTATCATTTGGAGGTGTCACACTGTAAGACAAAATAAATGAACATGGTAATACTTTCACATTAACATTATATAATATTAAAACAGGAAGAGGTAAACTCTCTTCTTAACTTCCAGTTAGCTTTGGAAAATGTCTTTTGTGGCTCTTAATTATAGTAACATTTTCAAGAATACCCAGGAGCCCATTTAAAAATAGAGTTTGTGTCACTCCTCACAAACTGAACAGACTGATTGACATTTTAAGGAATATTACAGATTTGAACTAAATGTTATTAGCAATTCATTAGATTGCAATACAATTATTAATAAAATGAAAAAGTGCCCAGTATTGTGTCAAAGATAAACTATTCACATGCATTAATAACATGAACAAGTAACATTTTTAAGACATAATTAATGTACATTCAAATAACTTTATAATTATAAAATTATTTACAAATAACTGATCATTATTTATCCATATTTTAATGCATTTCTGTTCTGTTAAGCAATTACATTTTAATTAACATTATTATAAGGTTGATTAATGTACAATTTTTACTTTATTATTTTGAAAGCCCTGTCAGATGCTCCATGTGTGGGATGCTTCAGCTCACCCCGTTGTACCACACACTTGCCATAAAAGAGTATGACCTCAATCATAATCTAATCTAAGGTGAAGCCACTGATGTCTCAATGTCATCTACACCAAGTACCATCCAAGAGACCTACATTCATCTCAATATGTGGTTCCACAACAACAACAACAAAATTACAAAATTTAGATTCTATAATTGTGAAACACCTCATCTGCATTTATTCTTCCATAAACATTTAAATCAGCATTCTGCTGATGTGAAGCAATTTAAGACAAGAAAATATGTCATGACTCAACATGAATTAAGGGTGAAATCATATAAGTGAAATTGTAATAACTTCTCTGATATGATAGATATAGTACTAAATCAGATCTTCTGCTGTAGTGTGTGTCTTATCTGTTAAATGTTTTAGAGATAGGAGTATCAGTCTGCCATTGCCAACTGATTTGATTCAAGGCAAACAGCACGCTCACCTGACTTTAGACTGGCCTTTCCTTATAGACACTAACACTGGATCAAAAACTGGCTTTGGGGCCTTAAAGATCTAGGAAAGGAAAGGACATGATGTGTGGCCAAGTATAGTGACCCATACTCAGAATTTGTGCTCTGCATTTAACCCATCCTAGTGCACACACACACACACACACACACACACACAGCAGTGAGTAGTGAACACACACACACACAGCAGTGAGTAGTGAACACACACACGCACACACCATGAACACACACCCAGAGCAGCCATTTTTGCTGTGGTGCCCGGGGAGCAGTTGGGGGTTTGGTGTCTTGCTCAAGGGCGCCTCAGTCAGTACTGAAGTTGGAAGAGAGCGCTGGTCATTCACTCCCCCCACCTACATTTCCTTTGGGTTACAAATCCGACTCTCTAACCATTAGACCAAACACACACACACACACACAGCAGTGAGTAGTGAACACACATGGAGCAGTGGGCAGCCAATGATGCAGCACCCGAGGAGCAGTTGGGGGTTCAGTGCCTTACTCAAGGGTCACACCTCAGTCGTGGTATTGAAGGTAGAAGAGAGCACTGGTCATTCAATCCCCTCAAGACTCAAACCCACGACCTTTGGGTTACAAGTCTGACTCTCTAACCGTTAGGCCATGACTACCCCCCTTACTAACGAGTACTTGATTGTGGGATTAACTAATTAATAATGCACTGGCAAGCAATAATTAACTTATTGCAATTGCAACGTTTTGACCCAAGCAAGGTCTTCTTGTTGTTTGCATTGCCTGACAAAGACCTTGTTTGGGTCGTATTATATTGAAGTTACATGAGAGCAGATAAAACTGTGCCAGTTTTTTTATTTCTTTAATATTGATTCTTTTTGACTGAGCACCTGTTCTAGTTATGTTTGGATGTGTGCACACTACTTTGAATCAATAATTAACTGCCATAAAAGAAGTGGCCATTCATGTTTATTTTGTGCTTTAACTTGTAAATATGTAAAGATGATCCGTTTATGTGCCTGCCGCATGTTCATGTGAGGCGCTACAGTGAATTTTTTAAAACGTAACAAATTTTTGAAAGCTATGACTATGTTTCATACCAGAAGTAACCTGCGGCATGGCTTGTCAGACATAGCAACAGTTACTAAGCGGGGGCGGGTCTTTGCAAAGGGTCAATTGTATGTGAGATATGCTTAGATAGTTTTAAACATAAGCAAAGGATAAATGCAATATCCTTTGTAGGGTTGTTTGTGAGTTAAACTCATGCACAGATGCATGTTTGTGTCTATTTGTTTTTGTGGGATATATCTGTTTACCTTTGATTTGCATTTTCATTTTTTTATTTATTTTTTATTCTGCCTCTGCCTCCTCTCCTGGCTTGTTTCCCCGAACAAACAGACTTATGTTGTCTGACTGAAATGTTCCGCTCCGTTCTAAAGGAAATGGAAATGCTTTACCACTGCTTACAGTGTAAATGTCAGAGTCGTGATTTGCCACTAATGAGACAGCACCCTTGCAAGATAGAAAACTTTGTTTTGGAGCTTCTTGCTGTCTTGAAAACATTGATGTGCTGCTTTTGAGTGTCAATGAAGATGTACTCAGAGGCTCCATGTCATTTTTCACTTCTCATGCATATGTATGCCTCAGAACCAGGCCTACTCAAAGCATCTGCACAGACGGGGAGGAAGATGCAACGAAATCTAGTCCTGAACATGAATCCCTGCCCTAATTCTTTGATTTCCTTTGTTTTGCTCACATTTATGATTTTTGTCAAACCCTTTGAATTAAATCGTTTTTCTAAAAAAAAAAAATAGGGAAATTTTGTGAAATTATAAAGAAAACCATCTGTAAAATAATAGAGAATATGGGAACACTTGACAAAAAGGTCCCATTTGTTAACATTAACCACATTAGTTAACATAAACTAACAATGAAAAATACTTCTAAAGCATTTGTTAATCGTAGTTAATGTTAATTTCAACATTTACTAATACATTATTAAAATAAAAATTAATTAATAATAACAATTATTTAATGGACCTAAAGTTAACTAACAATTTTTTTATAAACCATTTTGATCAAATACTGTAACAAATGTGTTGCTCATTGTTAATGTTAGTTAATGCATTCATTAACATTAACTAATGTGACCTTATTGTAAAGTGTTACCAATATTTTTTTTTTTGGAATAGTTCTTAGTAATGCCTAATCCATAACAGTACGCTGGTGGTATTGCATTTAAGAATGGAAGGGCTCACCATATCTTCTACATATGTAATATCTGCATAGAAACATATATCCCTTCTCCCATCATGGCCTGATCTCTCTCTCTGTCCTTAGATGTGAACGTGTTTTCCTGAATAACACTTTCTCATATATGAGATATGACCCTGTGGAATGCCGGGTTCTGAACTCTTGACCTTGGAGCCACATGGCATGATGAAGCCTTTCATCTGACCTATGAACAAATACAGGGGATGTTTATGTATGGCTACTTAGAGATTCCCTTGAAGTTGCCTTAAAGACAAAAAATGAGAATAAAACACAAACATGACAACATGAATCAACATGTATGACATTTATTTATTTATGAGATTTGTTATTTAGCGCTCTCTAAATATTTATAGTTAAGCAGAAAACACCGCTAAACCATTCATTTTAGTAAATGTGTAATTAGCCTACATGTGCAAGTTTTGTAGCTATAGCAGCACTACAAGGAAGAAAACAGTAGTGGAAGCTTTTTCCATCCAAAATAGGGCATATGGTGCCCTCTTGTGGAAGGTTTGTTTCAAATAATGCCGCCGAAACAGACTAAAGAAATCATCATCCAAAATGATAATTGTCATCATTTTTATTTCTTTCGTAGAATATAATAGGAAATGTTAGTTAGAGTGACTCAGTCACCATTTACTACTATCGTTGTACGGATAAAAGATCAATGAAAGTGAATGGTGACTGAGGCTGCCACGCTACCTAAAAATCCCCTTTTGTGTTTCGCAGAAGAAAAAAAAGCAAACAAGATTGCAGCAACGTGTAAACGATAACAAAATTTTCATTTTGGGGCAAACTTATATTATCTCCAATCATAGAAAGTATAGGCCTAATGCACGGAGATTTTCTTGCTCCATGTTTTGTGGCATTTAAAAATGTTTAGCAAAATTGTATTGCAATCCCTAAAGCAGCTTAAAAAAAAATGAATGACTTAAATCTCTCTATACTACTTGCGATGCATATTGATTACCCTCACTCACGTTTAATTTGTGTTAACATTTTATATGTGTGTGTGTGTGTGTGTGTGTTT